ATTTTGTTTCACTGTACCAGTGCTACCTATCCAGAAACACACTGAAGTACTGTATTCTTGCATGATGTAGAATGACACAACTGATCAAGGTACTGCAAAAAAAAAATTGCCTTTTAAATTAGAAATTTGGTTCTTTGCATTGGATGCTAATGCAGCATATTGTAGTTCCACATTCAGAAAATACCAAAGTAAGCTGAAGTGATCACCAAATGGCTCTTTTTCTCTTGCCCTTTGTTGTGTATATAGATGGGTTGATTAGGCAACCCAGAGCCTACTAGCAAATTTAGGCCCATCTTTGCATTTGCAGCTGAAATTTCATCCCCTACCCAGAGATTGCACCTCTGAAATTCACCTGCAAAATGGTGATTTTGGGAAACAATTCTTTTTCTTTGTTCATCTGACAAAATAAGAGCTGAAACAAATGTGTATAGGCTTAATGTGTGTATAGCATTAACACTCCCATGCCCTGTGCAGCTTTTGATGCTTTTATACACACATGCACACACGCACACACACACACACACACACAGAGTCACACACAGACAGATAGATAGCTCCTTTAAACCATTGAAAGGTTTGTGCACCATAAAACAGTGCGGTTGCAAGCTTTTAGTACTTATTGCCTGACAGTAATATCAAACTGAGAAGTCAAATCAAATTAGACTGTGTTTTAACTTTTCCTTTGACAGATGTCTTCAAGTAGTGTATCCTTCATTACAGCCATATATAAAATAGACACCTTTCATCGCTACAAGCTTGGCGTATGGCCTGTTTACATGGCCCAAAGAATTTTGTTTTGTGAAAAGAATATGTGAAAGGTGCTCTTTAGTGGGGTTGTCTTATTTTTATGTTTGGGAGATAAGCCTTTTTATGGGCAGAAAAGTCCATTTTCGGGGGGGGGGGGCTGTTATTTAACCAAAGAAGCTTTTTGTCTTTTGTTAAATATCCCAATCTGGTGCCATAATTCCAAGAATCCCTAGCCAGACTGCTAATGGATATGATGGCGTCAACATAGTTGTCATATTGGCAAGACTACTCCTGTGCATCCATGTTACAAGTAGCTAATTCCTCTAAAGCAGTGATGGCTAATGTTTTTGTTGTCGCATGCCGAAAGTGCATGTGTGAATGTGTGAGAGTGCGCATGCATGCCTGCACCCATAATACAATGCATGCGGGACCCCCCTTGTGCTCCCCCCCTGTGCATGTGTGCGGGATCCCCTGCGCTCCCTCCGCGCCCTGCGCATGCACGCAGGACCCCCACACACACACACACACGCATGCAAGGCAGATACCCGTAAATCAGCTGGCTGGTGGGAGGCGCGCACGCATGCGCAGTGGAACTGAGCTGGGGCGACAGCTTGCGTGCCTGTAGAGATGGCTCTATGTGCCACTTCCAGCACGCGTGCCATAGGTTCGCCATCATAGCTCTAAAGCTTTACCTAGAATATTTCAGTAAAATATATACTGTAAATATATGAAAGTGATTCGGAGTGTAATTCAGTAGTAAAAAAAATGAATTGCTTTGAATGTCTACTGAAGAAATAGAACTCCAACTATTAGAATAAATAAGAATTGGGCCAAATAATAATTTCATTTTGCATGATGAATTTCCTGTATTTCAGTTGCTACTCGGAGCAAATTATAGAGGTTAAGGTACATAAAACAAAAATATCAAAATAGAGAATGGACGTAGGGAAGTGAGAATGTGAACTTCAGTTCTTCGTGTTTCATCTTTGTGATCATGGGTCTGAGATAAAATAAATCCTTGGATCCTTGTTGCTCTTACGTGGATTTCCTGCTTGGGAGATGACAGTTGAAAGCTCTATGCTGCAATGTCAAAATCTGTTGAGTAATTTTAGACAAATGTGTCATGTGTAACATGGAAATAGGATGTGCTGTACATTAGGGATTTCCCAAGTGATTGGATCAGGTAGTAATGTGCTGAGATGATGCTCTTTATCTATCCTTGGTTATACTTGTACACAGTGGGGACATGGGGTTTTTTTTTTTGTTTTTTTTATAAATTACATTAGTCAGAAAGAAAACCATTTACACTATGTGCCTCCTTGCATCTCTCAAACAATGCATGGTATTAAAGAGGCATTTTTATTAATGATTTATAAACATTCTTCAGCATGTCAGTTTTAAAATTCCTGTAAAGTTGTAAGTGCATGCGGGGTGCCATAAAGTCAAATGCTATCTCCTAAAGCCCGTTTGGGTCCTGTCACACCTGAAGCATCAACGCCGATTTGTTCATTTCTGTAGCTTCAAGGAGAGCAAGATGGAATTTGCCAATTTGTTTTTACAATTACAGCTTTAAAATGGTGTGAAGTTCAGCATGCTATTTTCATGGAATGTAGCGATTGCAAAAGAAACAGTTAAAAAAAAACAAGAAAACAGATGGCTATATGTGAAAGTATGCGGAGTATCAGCATAGGAGGCATATACTTACTGATTTTTCTACTGGGTTAAACTGAAGTCATGTGTGCTGTAAAAAAGAGCATCTTTTTTTGCCAGAGGGTGCAATCTTTTTCAGCCATTTCTTTTTTTGTAGATTTCTTAAATAGTTTCATTGAGTTATTTTTTTTTTTAGAGCAGGCCGTAAGTAGCACTAGGCAAAAACTTGCACTCTTCTTCAAGCAGGTTAAAGCAACAGAGGACTTTTTTGCTTTTTATTTTGTCGTAGGTTTTGTGTTGTCTTTAAAATTCTTGTGTTGCTCTGAGCTGAATGCGTGTGTAGGTCAGTTTAATGGCTGCAAAAAATGATACTATATATAAGAAAACTGAAACCCTGCAGCCCCAAGTTCTATAAATTTACATGTAAATGTATCCTGACATTGAACATCAACAGGACACAAGAACATGGACGTTAAAGTGCAAGAAACCAACCCAACCAAAACCATAGATTTTTACTGTTCTAAATATTCCCTAAACCAGGGGTGTCAAACTCAAGGACTGCAGGCAGGATGCAGCCCACAGGGTGTTTAGATCTGGCCCGTGGGGCTTCCCTGGAAACAGTGAAGGACCAGCCCTCATGCCTCTGCCAGTGAAAGCTCTGTTTTCGGCTGTGACAGCCTCCTGCAACCCTCTGCCAGTGAAAACTGAGCTCGGGAGGGCCGCATGCTCCATTTTCACTGGCAGAGGGTTGAAGGAGGCAGTTGTGACCAAAATTGGAGCTCGAGAGCCCGTTTTTGTTGGTAGAGCGTGCAGGCCACCACAAGCGCCGACACAAGTGGCGTTGAGCTGGCCATGCCCACCCCACACCCTGAGGTCAAACACAACCCTGATACGGCCCTCAGTGAAATCAAGTTTGACACCCCTGCCCTAAACTCACTCACCACTTAACAAAAAGGCACAACAAATCTATCCAGATCTACAAAGTACAATAGTTGCATTGATATTTGCAGCTTAAACCATTACTAGGGTCTGAAGTAATTTGGTTGCAGCATTTAGAGTACAGTCCATAGTAGTAATTCAGCCTGGGAGGATCAAGCCCAGAATGACTTGGATTGGGGTGGATCCTCGTCTAACGATTTGTGGAATTTGGCAATAGGGAAGGCCAAGATTGCTGTCACCCAGTAATGTGCTTTATGACCAATTTGCCTAGTGACAGAAAATCCAGTCCTAGTTGTGGAACATGCAAAACATCTCACCTTTTCTGTAGCTAAGCCATTTAAACGAAATAAAATATCGTAAGGCTATTTAAACCAAATAAATTGCATGGTTGGAGCTCAACAGGAAAACTGCTGATCCATCACCATCTTGTCTCCACCCATCATCCTACTTTATCATATCATATATAGCATTAGAACATGTTTAATTTCCCTAAATTGGAATTATTTCTTGTGACATATGACTCCTCTGTTTTTTAAAATATAACTTTTTCATATTTTCTCACGTACTTATAGAATGTTTCCAAGTTCTATGTTGTCTCAATCATAGAGTATCAAAGCACTACAAGAAGGCCACTTCAGAGACAAACTCTTTCTTAGAAAGATCTTTATTGCTAGCAGGGTAATGAAAGCCTGTCAATGCAATTTTCCTGCTCAATCAATGCCAGACATAATCTGAGCCTGTTTCTGCCCCAACCCAGACCTCTGAGCTGAGGTACAGTATCTCTTTTGCAACAGTCCTGTGTTTTACCTTTGCTTTCCCATAATCCAGAGTGGATAGCTTATACCTAGCGTTAAAAGCATCAGATTAAAAACAACTAATAGAATTGGAAGGGGCCTTGGTGGTCTTCTAGTCCATCCCACTGCTCAAGCAGGAAATCCTACACCACTTCAGACAAATGGTTGTCCAACCTCTCCTCAAAAGCCTCCAGTGTTAGAGCCCCCACAACTTCTGGAGACAAGTCGTTCCACTGATTCATTATTCTAACTATCGGGAAATTTCTCCTTCGTTTTAGGTCGATTCTCTCCTGGATGAATTTCTCTCCATTGCTCCTTGCCCTGCCCTTCAGGTGCTTTGGAGATAGCTTGACTCCCTCTCCTTTGTGACAGCCCCTTAGATATTGGAACGCTGCTGTCATGTCACCCCTAATCCTTCTTTTCACTAGACTAGATGTACCCAATTCTTACAACTGTTCTTCATATGTTTTAACCTGCAGTCCCCCAATCATTTTTGTTGCTCTTTTCTGCACTCTTTCCAGAGTGCAGAACTAAAAGCAGACAAGATCAGAAAAACGCATAGCAGACACACTGGGGAAAAAACTCAAATATATTCCCACCAAAATCTATTGTATGATCATTATATAATCTGTTATATTAACGTATGGTAATAATGTACTGTGACTATAAATATACATTGCTATATTTAATTATATGTTGTATTATAATTCAATGATCTTTTAATTGGTTGCTTTATTTTTGTGTCTTTTGGTTTTTTACTTTTTTTTCAAATTTGAACAAAATGTTTTAAAAGTTAAATACATTTCTACAATTCTGAGCTCAGAAAAATCAACAAAGGTTTCTTAATTTTGATTATGTTTCTGCCTACAGGTATACCAATGCTGAAGATAGTTTTTGAAGGTTACAAGCATCTGTCCTTAATTTCAGTCCCATTGCTTATATATCACCCAGCGCAGATCCTCCTTGGCAGCATTTTGGTACCAACAATAAAATCTTGGATGATTTCTAGACAAAAGGTAAGAAATCATGATCCCATGCAAAGTTCACTATTGGGAATAAACAAGAGGAACAATTATTGAAAAGTATGATTTACCAGTACATTGGTAATGCTGGAATAAAATGTCCAAAAAAGCAGTCTTAATGCTGTGAAATAAACCTAGGAACGTGCAAAACATTCTGGTCTCAAACCATTTTTAGCTTAATATGAGTGGTCCAGGACTGAAACAGAACAAAGATTTTATTCCAGCCTTGGAACACGATTGGGAGTACTTCTAAAGCAGCATGTTGGATGACTCAAATGTTCAGAGTGGACTGTTGTTTTGTAGCTGAGGGCACATTTAAAATATTTCCATCCTTCCTAGATAGTACAGAAGTGAGTATTAAGAGATAGAATGAGATCACGAGGAGGCTGTGGGCAAAAAACAGTTATTAAAACATACGACCAGGCAGAATTCTGCTCTGTTGGAGAGAAGATGACCAACAGAACTCTTCTAAACTATATTTACAGTAGGATATTCTAGATTGGTCTGAGAAAAGTAATTGACTAGCCAGGAAGGGAAAAAAAGAGTGCTAAACACAAGTGCACATTAGCAATCGGACACATTGAAAAGGCAAGTAAATAAAGATGGATTCAAAATATATTTATCAATTTATTTATGTAATATAGTGTGTATGTGTGTGTGTGTATATATATATATATATATGTTTTCTTAAGTTTATATACATACATACATACATACACACACACACACACACACACACAGTATATTTGTGTGTGAGAGAGAGAGGAAGGGCTTTTTTCCCTTGTTTCTCTGCATAATTTACAATAAGCACTATTATAGTTTGATGAGTTTGAGTTAAGATTTCATACAGGTTGTTTTTTTAAATAGCTACAGTTGATTTTGATGTGTCTAAAAATGATGTCCTGCTTTTCAAATAAATATAGCGTCATGTTTTGGTGCTTATTTCTTTCATTTCATTTTGGTATTTCTCTCAAGCAGAAAGCTGTACTCACTTTCAGTGAAATCCTTAATAAGAATAACATGTGATTTCTTTGTGAAATTTAACTGTTTGACAAACTTTAACTGTTTAAAGTTTCACCAACAAAAGGGTTTTCTACTTGAAAAATGGTGCCACAGGATGTGCTATGTATCAAAACAAAGATCTTGCTTTCTCAATAGGTTATGAAATGTTTTAACTTTTACTTCCCTGATCGAATACATTTAATCTTGTAAATCAAATTTGGGAAAGAAAAATCATACTTTCTGCAGGGTCAACACACCTGGATGCCTTGTGCTCTAATATCTTGTTTTTTTCTGGAAGGACAAAATATATTTTTTCCTTTAAAAAAGTCCCAATAAAAATAAGACCTCACTCTAAGTAAATTTTACCAGCTCTTATTATTTAGATTACAGTAGATGCCTTATTTCATTTATTATGTGTGCAAATGCCTGGATTAAAATGGTAAGATTTGCCAGGGAGGGCAGCAAAACAAGTCATGTATCTCAGCATAATAGGAAAAAAAGAAATTGTTAAGCCAAGTTGTGATACTATGAAGTTATAATGTGACCTTTGAAACAAAAATACAAGTTTTGATGTCTAGCAATCTGAGAGATACATAAATTTGTGCTTGACATTATTTCAGTAAAAGAAGAGAAATCTACTAATACTACAAGGAATTAATTTTGTAACTTGAGGCTAGAGCCTTGTATCTCTTGTCATTGCTAGTGCCCGGAGAATGATTCAATAGTTAATAGTAATTATTTTGAAAATATGTCCTAGTGTTGTTTAATTGTGATTTTAAGAAGGCAACAAGTTGACTTTTGGTTTGATGTTTTGCAGGCAATGAAATTAACAAGGCAGCCCAAAGTACCAGTGAAAGTATAACGGAACAGCCCTCGTGAATGTATATATGTCCTATTTTGTACATACAGAGAGACAATGCAAAAGATGATCATATATGAATGTTGCCTCAGCACTTACTTTATTTTTATACCTACAAATATATTTAAAATACCTACTGAAGTGCCTTAAAGTACTTTTGACAAAAGCATTGATTCCAAAATCAGATGACTGGTTATTATAAGAGGTTGCACTCAGAATTTGCATTCACTCACTTTTATTTCTCTTCCTGAGCAAATCATCCTAGCAGTGAAACTTTAAAGCTTCCATGATCACATCTCCGTGGCATGTCTCAATCCACCAAGCGGGTTCCTCTTCGGTAAGCTTTATTGCAATGAATGAAGACCAAACTGGACCTACCGCTTGTCCTAATTATTCACGAACTTTTTATATGTTTGCCTGAGCACTGGCATCTTCTAGTTCCTTGAAGGAGATGGTTTCTGAAGATTTAAGTGAGAAATGAACTTGATTTTTGGTGATTCTGTCACGTCCTTATTTTGGCATGCCTTTTTTTTCTTCCAAATTTGTGTATATTCAGCAAGGGGCCAGCCATTGGAGAGAAACCGAGAAGCATAAATCATTTGCATTTGTTGAGGAAATTCTCTCCACCTTCCTTCAAAGTTAATGGCTTCTCAGGATAATTCAGATCCATTTTTATGGTGCTGTGGCATTTATATCTTAAATGAACTGTGAACTTCCTCAAAGACAAGGCTATAAGGAAACACCAGTGATTTACAAGCACAGCTGGATGAATGTCTTTATTATCATTGCTATAGTTTACTAAAACAGATTATCTTTTTCCCTTGTGCAGGACATTCCACCCAATAGTGACAGAAAAATACTAATATTACAGTGGTCACTTTATTGCCCCTTACAAGCTTTTCAGTGCTATATTGTTCGATATCCCATGAGCAGCATACAAAAACTAATGAGGTTGGAAGACTGCCCCCTCAAGCTAGCAAAGATACACATATTCCATAGAAATTTAAGCAGCATTAGAATGAATATATCCAGTTAACCTGACAATCAGAGTTTAAAGGTGATTTTTTTTTAAAAAAATGTATATATACATCTTAACTTTTTAGCAGGGATATTGATTAATACTCACATTTGGATAAAAAGAAAGGGAAAATAAAACAATATATATTTAATAAAATAATCAACAGGACACTTAAAGATATTGGCCTTCAGATCTCAAATTTAGAGACAACATTATTTCCACAGCCATGTGGGAGTCATGTGATTCTATAAATTAATGTATGGGTTTCTAGTGCTTTCACAGCCCTGTTTTTCTTGACATGTACAGGGAAGCTGCCTTATCCAAGAGCACATTTATGCATTTTCCTCTGCATAATATTCCGTGAAGGAAAATGCTGGTTTTAAATACAGTTGCTTGTGTGCATTATAGTAGAAAAATAGAACAGCCTCTTGGACACTGACATATATCTTATATGTTGTTCTAATTTCAGATTTGAACTATTGGAAACATACCTACTACTACTGTCCCAGCATGTTGGGATTAACTGTCCTTTCCAAGTAATTTTATCTGATGGCAATCTGAAATGTTTGATGTTCGAAACAATTTGTATCAGATAGCTTGCTCGCTAGTGTCCAGTTGGCCATTTCTCTGAAATAAGCAGTTGTTCCTAAATGGTAAAGAAGTATGAATCAGCAAACTCTAAGCATCTATTTAACAGCTATTGCATTTGGTGAAATTTAACAAGTCAGCACAAAAGATACTGGTGTCCTAACCCTCAATCATTTTTATGTACATCATAAATCATAATTCTAAAGTTGTTGTGGCATATAGATGTCTTTAACAATTACCACATAATTAGCAAAACCTGCAGAAATGCACAGCAAAGCAACCACAAGCAAGATTCTCTACCAAGCAGATCAAGATGTAAATCACACATTCCTTCTATTTCCGACTGGTGGCTTAATATACAATGAAGACCAATTTTAAAACTTGAAGAGAGAAAAAGTTAGAAAAAGGACACACTGCTCATTTTCCTGTTTGTTTTTATAAATCTTTTTCTAAGTTTATAAATATGTGTTACCAAGTCAACAGCTCTTTTGGTCATGGGCTAAGTAACAGAAAGAATGATTGTTTTAAAAGAGATTTGCCATTTATTTTGCATGCAAGTTCCAGGGAAATGTAAAGAATTTGCACAAGAATGCATGGTACCTTGTAACAGAGATTCAATTTAATTGCCCATTACAGATGGAAACATGGTTCTAATTTGCTCTGACTCATTTCCCACTCTTCTGTCTTCCTCTAAGTTGAGCAACATCTTTTGAACAGTCAGTACACTGCTACTATTCCAACAGATCTACCTCGAGTTACTGCAGTATCATCAGTTCAAGATTTTGATGAACATGTATCATGGCAGTTTCATACATATTTTACCAAATTCCAAGGAGAGATGGTTGGAGTTAAAGTTGTGATTGGAAAAAACTAAATGGCATATTCTTTTATTTGCATAACTGTTGAGTAGATTGTTTTAGAATGATGCATAAAGCAAAACTGGAGTGCATATTTAAAACCACAAACAACTTTTTCATATTTAGAATGTTACATTATATTTAAAGATGGTTAAGACCTTTAAAGACTTGACTTAACTATAAAAGGTTCTCTGGATTGGATGTTATCTTGGAAAAAGACAAGCATTCTGCAACTGATTTTGTAACAAGGGTCATTCTCTTTCTATTCTCTCTCTACCAATAAGTTTTCTATTTGTTTTTTTTAAGCTTATATATATACTTTTAAATAAAAACTATTCATTAAAACTGTTCCTTGTTTTTCTTGATGTTGCAGATATCAGTAGACGTAAATAGTAATGCAGTTGTATCTTGGTACTCAACTGCTTCAAAACTCATTGAATTTGGTACTTGACTCATTTTGACATGAACATGTTGTCCCGATACTTATCATTGGTTTGGTACTCAATGCACACTGCAAAAGGAAGTGGAAGGCAGCCATGGAGGGCGGACAGGAAATCAGCCATGCTTGAAAAATTGCTGACACAGGAAATAGGCACAGATAGGAAATCCTTCCCAGCCAAAACAAAGGGTCAGATGGTAAGTCACATGGTTTATTTGGTACTCATCCTTTTTAGTACTTGTCATGTCTCCCAGATCCTATTAAGGATGAGTACCAAGGTACCACTGTATATGGTTAAGTAGCTCTTTCACTTTCCAAGTTGCTTGAATGTTTGTAGCATTCAGGAGAAATTTCCATCCTCTTCTGGAATGTTACAATTTATCTGTTTGTGGTATTTCTAGATCTCAGCATAGCAGCAATAATTACATTATTACACATGTATCATATCAGGAGATAATAATGCTATCTATAACTATGGTAAATTATGAATGAATGTATAAACTAAATTATTGATTAGCATAACACTAAATGTTAAAGTGAAGTCACTAATTCTTACCAATGTATTTAAGCATGTAAGTAGCCTTGAGTAATGATGCTCATAAACATCAACAAGAGCAACAGTTAACTACCTATTCCTACTGCAGTATGTTTGGAATGAAAGGGATGAGCACCATTTATTGGTTTTCAATTTTCAGCTTTCAGCCATTTTGTCAGGGTTTTATGTATCCTCAACTTCCTAATGCTTGTTTCAAAAGAAAAAGTAAGGTAAAAGAATCCTTCAGACACGGCCCTGTTGAATTCCATGCAGTCTTGCAAGAGTGTAATTTGCCAGAATGTTTTGTTTTACTTCCAGTCTAACCAATAGCTCTGTAATTCCCAACTTAACTATAAAAGCCAGTCAATGCCAGTTCTTTCTTTTCCCCCGGAATAGCAATCTTAAGTATAAATGTGAGGTTAAAGATTTTCACTCTTCCTAAAATTGATAAATACAAGAGAATTGTTTCTGTTGCTTCTAATTTATGGGATTCATTGCCCCAAGATGAAGTGATAGGTACTTACTGTAAGTGGTTCATCTATAAAATGGAGGTCTTTATAGATGATTCCAAAAAGCGCTACCTTGCCAGAAACAACAAGTGTGTCAGAAAAATCAGTAAGAGAATGCTCTAGCAATGTCAGAGGAAATATGAAACAAATTACCAGTCACGGGTATTGATAAAGAGTTTCCAAAATTTCATGTGAAGGAAGAGATAGGTTGATTTGCAATTGCTTACTCAAAACTGGTGTTTTCAGTTTTGTTAATATTTTTATATTATAGTATAAAGTAGTTTTGTGTAAATTGGGGAGGAATTCTTTTGTTCCTGATTGAATCAGAAGATACATCACAATAATTGCAAATAATATGAAAATGTCGTCCATAGCCAATGAAATCCAAGGTTTAACATAGGCCTTTAACTTCACTACCTATTTTTGTTGCTATTTTGTTTTGTGTAACATCCTTGGGGTAGTGGGTTTGCTAGTGAAAAGAACACAAAATTTATGTGATGTTTAGACTGCACAGGAGTCTAAAATATGATTTGTTAAGTGTAGTACCCATCTCCAATTTTAAGCAGAAGAGGGCAGTGATCTGGCAACTTCCATAGTTATTACTTGTGAATTACATTTTAATTATTCTGCCTGCCAAACAAATCCAGAAAATCAATTCAGCTGCCCAGCTAAGTATGAACTTCATTTTTTTTTTAAAAAAAAAAATCAGTTTCTACTAGTGTGAAAATAAGAAACCGCTGATTCATAAATGGCACTTAAGTACTATGAGGAAATGTACTAATAAGTTTCCCATTGATTTCAGTTCTCACAGATTTCTGTTAGATACTTGCTTCCTGCTGAAAAATTTCTTCCTGACCATCAATAAATTCGTCTGGTGGCTTTAGCTCTCAGGGCCATTTCAAAACTGCAGAGACACACTTGAAAGCTTGAAGAAATAATAGCTCTGCAGCAAAGAAAGAAGCAGCTAAAAAGTATTAACATCCACAGATCTTCCTTCTGGGTTTCAAGGTTAAACTACTGGGGTGAAATGTGTATTCCTCCCCAATCCCATTCTAGTCACATGATCCCATTTTTATAGACATTAATTTTTAACTGGAATTTTCACATAAATATCAAACTATTGTTGGCTCCTGGGTATAATTCAAAGTGTTGGTTGTCACCTTTAACATATTATATAGCACTTAGCAATAGAATACATCAGGAGCATCTTTGTTCAAGCTAATTTATGAAACATTCCCACATCATATACAATCAGAAAACTGGGCAAGGCCATTTGGTAACTATCGTAACTCGAATAAGTTGGCAGATCCCTTTTGGGTTGTTTTCCCTTCTGCAGTCAAGCTTTCTTGTGTGCTCACATTCATATTCACAAGGTTCTATGCTCATGTATTGGAATTTGTCAACATCCCGAACATTTCCCATTTTACAACGACATTTCAATACTAATAAATGGTTAGAATGTTTCAATGATTAAGAAGAGCTAATTTTAAGCAAAACATTGGTTTAAATATTACATATATCAGAGCTGATCAAGGATCCAAGAACACCTGTGACCAGGAGGCTCAATTCCATCTGGTCCACCAAACCTGGTCAGGCTACAGTCACTGTCTCATGTCTTGACCAGTTGGACTATTGCGATGTATTCCCCCCTAGGCTAACCAAAAGGTTACAGGTAATTCAGGATGTGGTAAAACTGGTTGTTATGCGGTATATCTCATTTGGCACAATATCGTTTCTATTCCAAATGCTGCATTCACTACAAGTTGGCTCCTGGGTATAATTCAAAGTGTTGGTTGTCACCTTTAACATATTATATAGCACTTAGCAATAGCACTTAGACTTATATACCGCTTCACAGTCTCTAAGTGGTTTACAGAGTCAGCATATTGCCCCCAACAGTTTAGGTCCTCATTTCATTCATCTTGGAAGGATGGAAGGGCTGAATCAACCTTGAGCCTGGTGAGATTCGAACTGCCAAATTGCAGGCAGCTGGCTGCAGCAGAAGTAGCTTGTAGTACTGCACTCTAACCACTGTGCCACTGAGGCTCCGTATGGTTATTTTTTGGGACTGCCTGCTCCCAGCAGTGTCCATCCACTGAACAAGAAGAAGTGGGGGTTCCTCT